AGGTTCTGGATATTAGCCTCTTTTTGGTCGGATGAGTAGATTGCAAAAAAAATTTTCTCCCATTCTGTAAGTTGCCTGTCTACCTGATGGTAGTTTTTCTTTGCCTGTGCAGAAGCTCTTTAGTTTAATTAGATCCCATTTGTCAATTTTGGCTTTTGTTGCCATTGCTTTTGGTGTTTTAGACATGAAGTCCTGCCCATGCCTATGTCTCGAATGGTATTACTCAGGTTTTCTCAGGGTTTTTTATGGTATTAGGTCTAACATTTAAGTCTCTAATCCATCTTGAATTAATGCCAGATAAGGAGCAATGAAAGGATCCAGTTTCAGCTTTCTACTTATGGCTAGCCAATTTTCCCAGCACTATTTATTAAATAGGGAATCCTTTCCCATTTCTTGTTTTTCTCAGGTTTGTCAAAGATCAGATGGCTGTAGATGTCTGGTATTATTTCTGAGGATTCTGTTCTGTTCCATTGGTCTATATCTCTGTTTCTGGGTACTCAGTACCATGCTGTTTTGGTTACTGTAGCCTTGTAGTATAGTTTGAAGTCAGGTAGCTGGATGCTCTCCAGCTTTGTTCTTTGCCTTAGGATTGTCTTGGCAATGCGGGCTCTTTGGTTCCGTATGAACTTTAAAGCAGTTTTTCCACCTCTGTAAGAAACTCATTGGTAGCTTGATGAGGATGGCATTGAATCTATAAATTACCTTGGACAGTGTTACCCACTCCTCAGCAAATGTACAAGAACAGAAATTATAACAAACTGTCTCTCAGACCACAGTGCAATCAAACCAGAACTCAGGACTAAGAAACTCAATCAAAACCGCTCAACTACATGGAAACTGAATTACCTGCTCCTGAATGACTACTGGGTACATAATCTAAATGAAGGTAGAAAATAAAGATGTTCTTTGAAACCAATGAGAACAAAGATACAACATACCAGAATCTCTGGACACATTTAAAGCAGTGTGTAGAGGGAAATTTATAGCACTAAATGCCCACAAGAGAAAGCTAGAAAGATCTAAAGTTGACACTCTAACATCACAATTAAAGGAACTAGAGAAGCAAGAGCAAACGCATTCAAAGCTAGCAAAAGGCAAGAAATAACTAAGATCAGAGCAGAACTGAAGGAGATAGAGACACAAAAAACCTCCAAAAAATCAATGAATCCAGGAGTTGGTTTTTTGAAAAGATCAACAAAATTGATAGACCGCTAACAAGACTAATAAGAAAAGAGAGAAGAATCAAATAATAGACGCAATAAAAAACATAAAAGGGATATCACCACCGACCCACAGAAATACAAACTACCATCAGAGAATACTATAAACAGCTCTGATTAAATAAACTGGAAAATCTAGAAGAAATGGATAATTTCCTGGACACTTATACACTCTCCCAAGACTAAACCAGAAGAAGCCAATCCTGAATAGAACAATAGCAGGCTCTGAAATTGAGGCAATAATTAATAGCCTACCAACCAAAAAAAAAAAGTCCAGGACCAGATGGATTCACAGCTGAATTCTACCAGAGGTACAAGGAGGAGCTGGTACCATTCTTTCTGAAACTATTCCAATCAATAGAAAAGAGGGAATCCTCCCTAACCCATTTTATGAGGCCAACATCATCCTGATACCAAAGCCTGGCAGAGACACAACAAAAAAGATAATTTTAGACCAATATTCCTGATGAACATCGATACAAAAATCCTCAATAAAATACTGGCTAACCGGATCCAGCAACACATCAAAAAGCTTATCTTACTCATGATCAAGTGGGCTTGGCCCCTGAGATGCAAGGCTGGTTCAACATATGCAAATCAATAAACGTAATCCAGCCGTATAACAGAATCCAAAGACAAAAACCACATGATTATCTCAATAGATGCAGAAAAGGCCTTTGACAAAATTCAACAGCCCTTCATGCTAAAAAACTCTCAATAAATTCGGTATTGATGGAACGTATCTCAAAATAATAAGAGCTATTTATGATAAACCCACAGCCAATATCATACTGAATGGGCAAAAACTGGAAAATCCTTGAACCAAGTACAACATTAGATGCCTCTCTCTCACCACTCCTATTCAATATAGTGTTGGAAGTTCTGGCTAGGGCAATCAGGCAAGAGAAAGAAATCAAGGGGATTCAGTTAAGAAAAGAAGAAGTCAAATTGTCCCTGTTTGCAGATGACATGATGGTATATTTAGAAAACCCCATTGTCTCAGCCCAAAACCTCCTTAAGCTGATAAGCAACTTCAGCAAAGTCTCAGGATAAAAATTAATGTGCAAAAATCACAAGCATTCTTATACACCAGTAACAGACAAACAGAGAGCCAAATCAGAAATGAACTTCCATTCACAATTGCTTCAAAGAGAATAAAATACCTAGGAATCCAGCTTACAAGGATGTAAAGGACCTCTTCAAGGAGAACTACAAACCACTGCTCAGTGAAATAAAAGAGGATACAAACAAATGGAAGAACATACCATGCTCATGGATAGGAAGAATCAATAAACTGTGATTTTTTTAAGGCACTTTGCTGTTGTTACAGCAGCAATAAGAAACTAATATGAGGAGAATTTTTTTTTTTTAGTATCTTGCAAGTCTGAAAAATGTCACACACTTAATTGATGCTCTGTCTATATTTAAATTTACAGACTGAAAGTCATTTTCCTGGCATAATCCTCTAACTTATTGTTCTTTTATCCTCTGATTCTTGCTTACTTTAACATTTTTCTAAAGTAAGTTCTAGTTTCTAGAAGATTTCTTCAGCTGTTTTTCACTAGACTGTTGTTGGATAATTTATATTATTATATTTGCACTTTGCATTTTCTCTTCTTCTGTATTCATTTATAACATGAAGTTTTGGTTTCAGGGATACATTATCTTATTATAGCTCTCTAAGAATCTTAAAGACTTTTTTGAAGTTTCCTTCTGTTCCCTACATTGTCTGTACATGCCTAGATTTTATTTTTAGTCGTTTGTTTGGATTTCTATTTTTTTGTTTTTATGTTTTTTATTTTACAATTATTCCATAAATATCTAATAATCTTTAACTTTCTATCCGTTTTGAAATACAGGGATTAAAATGGTGATAGAAAGCCTCATGGTGTCTGAACAGGAATTGTCAAGCATTCAACTTCATGGTACAGCAGGGTTTATCATTAGAAGTTTCTCAAACATTTAAAGAAGGAAAGGGACAATAAAGATAAGAATAAATCAATGAAATTAAAAACAAATGTGCACTAAAGAAAAGCAATAAGGCTAAAACTAGTTCTTTGCAAAGATTAATAAAATTGATAAGCCTTTAGATAGACTGACCAAGATAAAGATAAGTACAAATTTCAGAAATGAAAAATGAAACATCACCACACACACTACAGATTGTAAAGATAATAAGAGGATATTAAGAATAAATATTTATATCAAAATACCTGACATTTTAATTTTTCTTGAAAGATAATTTACCAAAATTAAGAAGTAATAGAATAGCTGAATGAGCCTATATTAATTTTGATAGCTTATGTCTGTATTAGTCTACCTAGGATGCTATAATACAATAGCACAGAGTGGATGACTTAAACAACTGTAGTTTATTTTCTCACAGTTTTAAAGGCCAAAAGTCTAAGACCAAGGTGCCTTCAGTGTTAGTTTCTAGTGAGGCCTCTCTTCGTGGCTCGTAGACCACTGCCTTCTCACCACGTCCTTACAAAGCCTCTTCTCTTATATAGACAGAGCATCAGTTAAGTGTGTGACATTTTTCACATCTGCAAAATACTAAAAAAAAAAAAAAAAATCACTCTTTCTCCTCATATTAGTTTCTTATTGCTGCTGTAACAGCAAGCAAAGTGACTTAAAATAACACAAAGTTTATTATTTCACAGTTCTAGATATTTTCACAGATAAAATATTCGTGTGTATATGGAGAGAGAGCATGAGCAAGCAAGCTTTCTGGTGTCTGTTCTTATAATGACACCAATCATATTAGAGCCCCACTCTTTTAGCCTCTTTTAACCTTAATTGTCTCCTCAAAGACTCCATCTCCAAATAAAGTCACATATTGTTAAATGTTAGGGCTTCAACATATGAATTTGGGGTGGGGGCATGATTAGGTCCATTACAGTGTCCTTAATTTAAAACTCCCCCATAATTTCAGGTTCAGGTTCAGGGAACATAACTAGCAGTGTCCACCAAACATTTAAGGAAGAAAGGAAGGAATAGTACTGATCTTTCAGATTTTTAAATTCTTTCAGATAATAGAAAAAACAGAGGCATTTCCCAACTCATTTTTTTTGAGACCATAATAGCCTTAATTCCAAATCTTCACATTATAAGATAGAAAAATTCAGACCAATTTTTCTTATAAACAGTATAATAGCTTATATTATTAGCCTTCCCTTGTCCATTTCTTGTTATATGCATGCCTTTTGTCATATGACATAGTGGAACCTCCAGCTTCATGAGTAGAATATATTTTCCAGCCCCTCGTCCCCTGCTGCTTTCTTGGTGCATTAGTCCATTCTCACATTGCTATAAAGAACTACCGGAGACTGGGTAATTTTAAAGAAAAGAAGTTTAATTGACTCATAGTCCCACAGGCTGTACAGGAAGCATGGATGGGGAGGCCTCAGGAAACTCACAATCATGGCAGAAGGTGAAGGGGAAGCAGATGCGTCCTACATGGCTGGAGCAGGAGGAAGAGGGTGAAGGGGGAGGTGCTACACACTTTTAAACAACCAGATCTCGTGAGAAGTCTATCACAAAACAGCACTAGGGGGATATTGCAAAATCTTTAGAAACCACCCCCATGATCCAGTCACCTCCCATCAGGCCCCACCTCCAACACTGGGGATTCCAACAGTTCAACGTGAGATTTGAGTGGAGATACAGAGTTAAACTGTATGACTTGGTAAAAGTCAGAAGTGAGGTTTGGAGGTGAGGGGAAAGGGATTGTTTGGCTGAGTCATTTATTTTTGCATTTGGGTTTCTTTCATACCCCAGTTTGGTCGCCCAACTCACATTGATGCCTAAGACCCAGCTGATTTCTCTTCATTTCTGCAAAGTTACTGTACCATGGCAGGCCAACGAACATGTCAAAGGAAGAGCAGCAGAGCTGGCCCCAAGGTAAGGAAGCTTCCACAGCTTTATGTTCACTTACAAAATTTATATTTCTCTTGGAGTTTTAGGTAATCAGGGCTCCCAGGTAGAGCTGGCTTTGTTAGTGAAACACCAAGGGTTTGGTCTAGGTCTTGATGCTCGCTGCACAGATAGCCAATCACTGAGATGAGTATTGCCAAGGAAGAAAGCTTTAATAGGGTGCTGAAGCCGAGGAGATGGGAGATCAGTCTCAAATCCATCTCCCTGACTAACTAAAATTAGAGTTTTTTAGAGCAGGGAAGAAATGTAACCATGTGTGGGAAAACAGAAATTAGGGAGTGGTGGGGAGGAGGAGTTGGTTAACAGGAAACAGGTGGTCAGTTAGGCAATCATGATGGGCGATGGTAAGGAGTCTAGAGGCTAATTGTCAAGATACAGTGATTTGGTACGTTTTAGTTCCTTGACACTATCTGGGAGGCTTGATGGTTAGTTTTCTGGGAAAGGAACTCAGGTAAGACCAATGTAACTTTCTTAAGTTTTAAGACTAGAAGGATTAATTTCTATATTTATTTAAAGAAACCATAAACATTAGTTCTATAGGACAATTACGCTTGTTTTCAGCTTCATGGGTTTACAATTTCTGCAGTTGCACAGGGCCTTATGCTGAGAAGTACCATGCATTTGGTCTAATGCTCTGATGTTATTATCTTCAAACTCTTAATAATTTTGAACAAGGGACTCTGAATGTTTACAAGTTATTTAACTGGTCCTGCCTCCTGGCATTCACCACTTTTCACTAATCTCATAGAAAAGTATGATTTTTTTTTTTGTCCAAGTTTGTCTTACTGTTATCATGGAAGTATAGGTGTTTTATATCCTTCTACATCCTACCAAAAGTAGAAATCTATTTAATTTATACTTTACCTTATTTTAATTTTACCCCAAGAGAAACATGGAATTTTTGAAATTAGAACTTCACTATGCAAGTTTCACTTTCTTAATCCACTTTTCTAATTCCCTTTAATTAAATGTGCATATTACTTGTGGTGCTTTGTACTTGGAGTGCTTTGACAGCCATTACAAGAAAAAAAAAGTCAATACTTAAATTGTTTTCATTAAGTTTAATTCTGTACATTTGTAAATGTATTGCTAGTTCCTTTTAGCCAAACTGCTATACCCACTATCCCTGAAGATATTATATCATGAGTATTTTTCTGTCTGTAAGCCTTTTGTGCACACCGTCTCTCATATCTCTCACTCTTTTCAATCTGACTAGCTCTAGAGTTCCCTGTTTCCCATAACATTTTCTTCACATCTCTATGCATCTTTGCTTCTGTCTAAACATTTGTTTTCCTTTTTTAAATCTTTATTTTTCATTTTTAAGGGTATATTGTAAGTATATATATATTTATGGCATACATGAGATAACTTTTGGTACATACAGTATATAATAATTATATCAGAGTAAGTGGGGTATCTATCATTTCAAGCATTTATCATTTATTTGTGTTGTAGACATTCCAATTATACTCTTTTATTTATTTCAAAAGGTACAGTAAATTATTGTTGACTATAGTTAGCCAGTTGTTCTATCAAATATTAGATCATATTCATTCTCTCTAGCTCTTTTTATTTGTCTGTTTTTTAGAGAGAGTCTCACTCTGTCACCCAGGCTGGAGTATAGTGGCACAATCTTGGCTCACTGCAACCTCCGCCTCTGGGGTTCAAGCGATTCTCCCATCTCAGTCTCTCGAGTAGCTAGGACACCTGGCTACTTTTTTTGTGTTTTTAGTAGAGACGGGGGTTTTACCACGTTGGCCAGGCTGGTCTCTTGCACTGTTTACCTCAAGCAATCCACCTGCCTTGGCCTCCCAAAGTGCTGGGATTACAGATGTGAGCCACTATGCCTGGACACTCTGTTTTGTTTTGTTTTGTTTTACTTTTTTTTTCTTTTTTATGGAGATGGGCTCTTGCTGTGTTGCCCAAGCTGGTCTCAAACTCCTAGGCTCAAGCAGTCCTCCTGTCTTGGCCTCCCAAAGTGTGCTGGTATTAGAGGCATGAGCTACTGTGCTTGACCCTAACCTATATTTTTGTACCCATTGACCATACCCACTTTCCCCTCACTTCTCATTCCCTTCCCGGCCTCTGGCAACCATCATTCTACCTCTATCTCCATGAGTTCAATTGTTTAATTTTTTAACCCTCACTGAATACTCATTTTCTATAATGGTTGTCACATACACTGTTTATCTTCTTCTTATATTATCAGTTATATATTTTCTTATACTCATCATATATTTAGATGAATGAAATATCCCCCAACTCAAGTATGTAATTATTTTTTAGAAATTATTTTCTAAAACATGAACTTGTGATTCTGTAATCTTGACCACTTTATATATTGATATGAAATATGTGTTTTAATAAATAAAAATGTAATACAATCTTTTCAGTGATATCACCATGGATATTAGGGCATTAGACTTCTGAATTCTTCTTATTTTTGCCTTCTCACTGGATTTTCATTCTCTAGAAGTTTTTTTTATTATTTTTCAAGTACCTATACATTTCTGACATTCATCTACTCATTTATGCTTTCATTTATGCACACTGCAAGTACTTATTATGCATTGACTATGAACCAGCCACTGTGTGAAACTGTGATTGCACCATAGTTTCTGTCCTCATAGAGATAATCTGCTGTATGTTACCATGGAGAAAACTTTGGGGGATAAGAAAGGCTTGATGGACAAAGTGACTTTTAATTTGTTATTTGAAGTAAGAGTTAAATAGGCCAAGAAAGGATTGGAAGAAGAGGGTTTGGGAAAGGGAGACTTCTAGGCAGAAGAAAGAATGTAGGCAAAGTCTCTAAGGCACAAAGGAGAAAGGTGTGGTCTGGATTAAAATTAGTTTGTCTAATGTTGAATACATTTGGAATCACAAAGAAACTACTAAAAATGTGACTTTTTTCTATTAGACTGGAACATCCAAACATTTAAATTTATTTTAACTATGTAACTAGTTAAGTTTTTAAAATACTTTATCAGCAAGAACATATTATATTTTTGGCTCTGGATTTATTATAGAGACTATCCATGATAGCCCAAAATATCTTGGAACTCTTTTAGGAATCTGAAATGAGAACCTTAAGCAAGATTCATGTGGAGTTTTTCTCTAGGGCTAGTGTATAAGAGGGAAGCCTATTATAAAATTTGGTTTGGAGGCTAAGAATTTAAGCATTTATGTGTGTCCCTTTTCAAAGTGGAGGGATGGTACAAAGTGAACATTTTATGATATCTTCCTGCTCTAAAAATGATAACTTAGAGTATTTTTCATTTGAGTAAATTATTTGTAAATATTATGAATAGTCTAGTGAGTTAATGCCAATGAACAATATTGATATTACTTTATTAGAAAATGCAAGAACCTCCAAAGAGCATTGAAGAATTCTTAAAGTTTCAAAATTGGGTGAGTAGAGCATCTTATTTTCTGTGCCAGTACATCATTTTAAAATATCAGTTATGGAGATGTAGAGGACTTAGAACAAACTTTAAGACTAGAAATTTCTGAAATATGTTTCAATGTGGAAAGTGTGTATATAAATACTTAATATCCTTTGAGTAGGCCGTGTGTTGTAGTCTTTCCCTCTTGTCAACATTCTGTTCTCTTTTTCACATTAAAAAAATTCTAGCCCTATACAGACATTTCTATATACTTTTGTTAATGTAAGATTTTTGTCTTATGTATTTACACCTTAAAGAATATCCAACAATTATGCTTACTTACCTCATTTATTTATGCACCACACCTGAGACAGGTAATTTGTAGAGGTGTTACATCAGTATTCCCTGATTATTGAATCAGAGTGAAAAATTCAAAATGTGTTTTCCTGTTGAAAGTTCAGTTTCCATTGTTATGTTTAATTATTGACTTCGCCTGGAGTTTTTGGACTCGCTAAGTCTTCCCTTGGATCCATGCACCTGCAAGTGTGAAGGTCATATTTGTTTTGCATTGAGGAATGTCAAGTAAGGGTCAAAATAAACATGTCAGTATAGAAAACAAAGAAAAGATGGCTTTTTAATGAGGTATGTTTGTATTTTGAGTGGATTGGAATATAAATAATCTACATTTATTTATGCTTAAATATAAATAGTGTTTGCTGTGATTAAACTGCTAACAATGTAGTTTCAGAAATATCTACTTTTAAATATATATTTTCTGTTTTATATATTTATTTAGATAAGATTTTTTTTGTTTTGTTTTTTTGTTTTTTGTTTTTACTTTCAATGTTTTGGGAAAGGATTGCGCTTGGATGAAAACATTCCTAGTTACAAGAGTTTACTTCAGTCACATGGTGTAGCTAAGTATGTTGAAATACTTTTAGGACAAACTTTTTGTAACTACTTTTGATTTAAATAATGATGCAAATGTGCTGCAGCCTAATGACAATGTTTCAGGACTTTTTAATGTTTTAAGTTTTAAGTTAAAATTAAGCTAAATTCAGCAAATAATGGAGACTGTATTATTATACATGTTTGAGGACCTATGATTTTAAATAAAAAATTCTAATTATTTGAAGTAGTAAATATGTAATCCCTGTGTTTAAATTGAGAATGATACCAATCAAATCAAGATAATAGGTTTATGCCAGCTCTTCACTAAATATAGGATAAAACCAAATCAAACCATGTCTTATTAATAGTATGTCAGTAGTATCATCTTTGTATGCAAATGACATATTTATATTTGTATTCAAAGGCTATATTTATAGCCTTCAATTTTTATCAGATAGCATTTGATAAAACAACATATCCATTTGTATCATTTTGTCATTTATAGGTTTATCTGTAAATCTTTTCTTATTGTCTGAATTTCACAACCAAATACATTCTGTAGTTATTTTTTATGGTTTGGGTATGTTTATACATTGCCAAACTATTGGATATTTGAAAATATTCAGGAATAAAATGACTAGATGTTTAATTTTTTGTTTGCTATACAAAGTCTTTGTCTAATAGACGATGGTAAAATAGTAATGACTGCTGGCCGGGCGCGGTGGCTCACGCCTGTCATCCCAGCACTTTGGGAGGCCCAGGCGGGTGGATCATGAGGTCAGGAGATAGAGACCATCCTGGCTAACACGGTGAAACCCCGTCTCTACTAAAAAACACAAAAAAATTAGCCGGGCGTGGTGGCGGGCGCATGTGTGTGTCCCAGCTACTCCGGAGGCTAAGGCGGGAGAATGACGTGAACCTGGGAGGCGGAGCTTCCTGTGAGCCGAGATTGCGCTACTGCACTCCAGCCTGAGTGATAGAGCAAGACTCCGTCTCAAAAATAAAAAATAAATAAAAAAAGTAGTGACTGCCATGAATTCATTTAAGAAATATTTTTGAACACCTGCTATGTGCCAGACACATAGATGCTTCAGATACATCAGTGAATAAAAACAAGCGAAGATGCCTGCCCTCGTGGAGCTGTTGTTCTTTTAGAATTGAAGCATATTATTAAGCCAAGCTCTGCTATTAACTAGCATTATAACAGTACTTGCAACCTACATGTTAGCTACTGGTTTCTCTTGTCTTCTACTTAATCTTTTATCATATCATCTAAATTCTTCTCTTTTTTGCCAGTTCCTACCATTTCTATCTTTTTTGGTAATTTTAATATTTTATATCATCTACTCTTTTTCACCTCTTCCTATCTCCTGTTATACTTCCGTGTATCTTTTTATCTTCAATTGTTTTTATCCTCTCATTTCTCTGTTGATCATTTCCCACATTCCCTTCACTCCATCACAATTCTGTTTCTAGTTTTATTTTTATAAAAATATTTTTATAGTTTATTTTTATAACTTCTTTTTCCACTATTGTTGTATCAGTGTCAGCTCTCTTACTTATCCTATTCATTCACTCATTTAGTTATTTCTGTTCACTACCCACTATTTGTGCAATATTTTTCTGGACACTGGAGTTACAGCAATGAACAAAGACAAAAATTTCTACTCTTATGGAATCTGTATTATCTTCCTCCTTTTTGTCTCATTTCTCTTTACTATCACACTTTAAAAAACTCTTTTTGGTTCTTCAAGTACTAAAATGTTGATTCCAATTTCTTCCATATTTATTTATTATACTTTTTATTTTTCGTGTTATTTATTTCTGACTACCTTTTTTCTGTGTCCATGCAACTTTTATCTGGTAGAACTTTATAAAATTCATCTTCTCTTAGTTCATCAATGTTAATTTTTGTTAACAGGCCTGTTAGATTTGTAATCTGTATCTGGAGAGTACTCAGATCCATGCTATGATTTTTCTTAGAGGATCAAAATTATTTTATGATAGAGAAAATAATTATTTCAATCCCATTCTCTTTATTGAGGGAATAGCCTGATTTATTTGCTTATTTGTTTATTCATTTATTTATTCATTAATCCATTTAAATCCTTATATCAAAGCTTAATATAAGGGAAGAAGAGCTAAATAATAGTCACTTTTCCTACTAATTCTAGTTATGCTTCTTATTTCTTACCTTTTGTTTGATACTTCAGCATTGTCTCTTGGGCTTTGGGACATAGATGAAGACTTAACTATATATTCAATAAAAAAAATTCGTCTCTAAACTCCATGAGAGCCCTTTTGTCTGTCTACTCTCCCTTCTCCATCTCTAGTTTTGTATTAGCATATAATAATTTGTGCTTCTGCCACTGCCATAGTTAATTGCAGTAATTAAAATAAACATAACAAAGACATAGCCAGTTCTTGCTTCACTGACCCTGTTTTAAATAAGATAAATGTTCTTCTTACTTATTAGTAAGGACCACAGTGCTATAATGTAGAATTTAACTCCATAGGGAACAATAACTTCTAGTCCAATTCTTTTGTTCCTTTGGGATTTGAATACATTTATTTACTTTTAATTAATGTAATCACCATAGACTCTGGATGCTCATACTCTAGTAGTAGTGTTGATTTCCTTTCTGGCATTATGAGCTGCCTGACATCTCATCTGCCTGTTAGCTGCTAGTTGACTCAGTTTGCCTTTTTAGGTCTGGCCACAAAATTTATTTTTTAGATAACACTCTATTCAAGAGGTATCTTACTGAAGGCAAAATATAAAGGAATAAGGAAGGAAGGTAATAGAGAAATGAAATGGGGAAAATAGATTATGATCTGCTATAAGATATAATCTACTCCAATATAATCATCTGGTATCCATTTAATAATACAGCCACAAAGAATTCATTAAAAGAATTTAAAAATCACCTTCTTTGTATTAATGGCTTTGGGATACCAGTCAATCCCTTGATTACCTTGGTAATGTAGAGAAGACAGAGTCTCATCAGCCTTGTAAAATTTCTGGAAACTTTATTCAGCTCATAATATTTCAATATCTTGGGAAAAAGGATTGTGATATCTCAAGCCTGACATAAAGAATACATTTTCATAAAGATTTGTACATATTATAACATCTTTTCAAATTCCTTTTAGCCTCTTCCTACTCCCTCAACTCCCCTAACAACAGCAATACATGACTCATAAGGACTATGTTTTCGAAGTATCTGGCATTCTAAATTGACAGTGTTTGTCTTCAGGGATTTTACCCTGTGACCTTTTCTTATTCTTCAAAGTCTTTTAAATTTTTGATACAGTTTTCTACATTTCAATGCTGAAAAACTTTCCCAAGTGGCTATGCGTCTTATTTAAGATACACATTTACAGGATTTGAAAGAGGGCACTTACGTATTTATATAACACTCTTTTTTTCAAAATGACAGAGGGACCTTTTTGGAAAAGTTTTCCAGTGTTAAACACTGGGTATTATTTTCATATCTTACTGGTAGCACAGTTAAAAAAATGAACACGTGTATGATGAGTTTAGGATTGCTTTTAAAGGAAGAGAAAAGGAGATGGCACAGCCCTAGGTGGGTTTGAAATTTCTGATCTGCAGACTTCAGATTTCTTCCTCTTAAGCTAAGTCCCCAGTGTATTTTACCCAAACTCCATTGCAGAGTTTCATCCTACACAAGTCTCCCACCATTCCAAAACGTATTCTCTTATTCATAAGCTTTTAATTATGTTGACTAACTTTCTTTGTTTTGCTCTTATTTGATTATATTAAAAGATCTTATACTTAGATTTGCAAATATTAATGTTATGGTTCCACTTCCCTTCTTCTCTTCATTTCCTTTGTTTCCCTTTGATTCCATCTCCTTCCTTTCCTAAACAATTTAGTATTAAAGCCATTTGGCGGCCACACAAGGCAGGCTTCCACATTGAGAAAGAAGGGTTTGCTGTGGTGGCCCTGAGCAAGATTTCTGAGTCCAACAATGGTGAGGAGGATGTCCATGTGACACCACAGGTATCAGAATCCAAGGGAATGATGATGATATTCATACATAAACGGAGAAGAGGAAGGTAGCCTTCACTCTGATGTGGGAGGTCAGAGATCAAGTGGGGGTAAGGAGGATGTCCTCGCAGAATTGGCAACCTAACATGGAGTATTAGAGCCCAAGTAGTATGAAAAGGGTATCCACGTAGGGAAGAGTCTGGGAGCAAATATGAGAGATTGGTTACATAAAAGGATTGATCAAATGAGTAAATATATTAAAGATAATGGCAGCTAGGTTTTTAATTGTTAGGGATGGCAATTATAATATGGAAAGAGAGAAAGCTAGAATGGTTAGAATTGGAATTAGAGGCATCAGTGTGAACTCATGGCTTTGAAGATATAAAAGAAAAAAAAAAGGAAAAAAAAAAAAAAAGACGACGACTTAGGAGGAATGACTCCAGGAAGATGGCAAAATAACCTTTATCCCTTTGCAGAAATATCAATTTGAACAACTATCTTTGCAAGAAAAAGACCTTTATAAGAGCTAAGGAATCCAGCTGAGATATTACTAGCCTTCACTATATGGGAGTCCTAGGCGTAGCACAGAAATAAGAAAAGATACCTTGAAGAAGTTAGGAAGGACATTTTCAAGTTACCAAGCAAGGGCAAAACAGTGTGGAGAGAGATACCTTTCATGTGGGAAAGGGAAAGGAGAGTGAACTGAGCACATAACTTTGCCATGGATCCCAGCTTATGTAAAAAATAAGCCAGACACCAAAAGGAAACTGTGGCATGATCTCACTTTTAAGTGGAATGTATAAAAATGGAACTCATAGGAGCAGAAAGTAGAATGGAGTCTTACTGGGGCTTGTGAAAGAAAAGGAGAAATGGATTAAAGGGTGGGAAGTTTCAGACAGAATAGATAAATTCTGGGGATCAATTGGTCAGCATGATGATCATAGTTAATAATAATGTATTGTGTACTTGAAAATTGCTAAAAGAGTGGATCTTAAATGTTCTCAATACACACGTTAACTGTGCGAGGTGATGGATATGTTAATTACCTTTTTGGCAGTCATTGCACAGTGTATACATTTATCGAAGCTTCACATTGTGCACCATAAATATTTAAAATTTTATGCTTTAATAAAACTAGAAAATAAATGAAAATAAATTAAAATTATCTCTTCTAATCTTCCCCCTTCGCATCCCCACAGACACTATGAAACAGTTGTAGACCGAAAGGGACCAAAGAGACATGAAGTCAAAACCTAACATTTTTATTCTGAACTAGATTCTTTTGCTATAAAGGGCATAATTGGTTCCACTGTAATTTGAGTAGAGTCTTTGTATTAAATATAAATAATGTATCAGTGCCAATTTCCTGATTTTCATGGTTGCATTTATTATGTAGGAGAATGTTTTTGGTTTTCGGAACTATACACTGAAGTTTTAAAGGATGATGGGCTATCATATAAGCAAATTATTCTGAAATGATTCAGGAAAATAGTTTTAGTAAAGCACTTGTAACTTTTATGACATTTGTGATTGTTTCAAATTTTTAAAAAGTAATTTAAAAACAATTGTGGAATAAAATCTCAATTATAGCTCATTGGTTTTGAACTCTATTATTTAAATTCATTAAAAATGACTTAAACTGTATTCTCTCTTTCACATTTTTTGCAGGATTATTGGCCAAGGGAAATCCATTTTAGAGATGATGATGAATGGTCACGCACTCTGAAAAAAATAAAAGACGATAGTTCATTTGTTTCAATTTATACACACCTATGGGAAAATGTTCCTCGAATATTTGAAGCACTTTTGATCATGGAATCAAAATTAAAGGAATATTCACTTATTTTGCAAAACCACACCTCTAAAATATTTAAGTGGAAAAGCATGATTTCTGAGACAAGTGAGCCTTATTTATTTTTATCTTTTATAGAAATGGAGTCTCACTATGTTTCCCAGGCTGGTCTCCAAATCTTGGCCTCGAGTGATCCTCCTGAGTCACCCTCCAAAAGTGTTGGAATTACAAGCATAAGCCAGTGCACCTGGCCAGTCCTTATTTTTTGTATTAGTAAAGTAATGGTTGGTCAGTTGTCTGTGTGTGTGTGTGTTTGTGTGTAATCTCATAAATAATGAAATTCCAAGGTATAAAATAAATTTTAAATATATCTTATTTTAAAACCTCTTCATTTCAAAATGGTTCAATACAGATTTTTTTAGTTGAGCATAAATATGTGGTTTCAAAGGAAGTATTACTAAAACAAAGCCTTAAAACAGTTGTTAAACTGTTAAGCTTTTGTTAAAGTGGAGTGGAGGTACAGAGTATTACAAAAACAGGAGAGCAAGATTGCATCAATTAATATTCTTACTGGAAACAAACATATCAGCAAGGGTCAGGATAGAACAGAAATATCTAAAACTGAAAGTAAAAGGGGTGATAGTTAACCTATATGGGCTCGCAGGCTAGTTTGTAGGAGTCGCTGGTATTCACTATGGAATAACTGCATGAATGACAAAGCATACAGCAAGTAATGATAATTTTTACTTTTCGATATTTGTATAACATTTTTCTTATCTAATCGTATGAACATTTCCAGAATAGTTTTAAATACTTATTCTTGTCTTATTCTTGATTTAATGGGCAAATTTGTCATATAGATGTCTTGAAAATGATATTAATTGTACTTATAAAGTATTTTTAGATATCAAATTAGATTCATTATGTTATTTTGGTATTTAATATTCTTTTTTGGACTTAGATTTGTGTAATTCTGAAGATGTGTTTAAATACACTTCAAAATTAACTTTTTAAATTTTTGTATTTAAATTATACATTTTTAAAATTTTATATTTTTTAATGTATAAAAGTTATATATAGCTTCTGTGTATGTATATATAAATACACACACATGTATATATCTTGTATACACACATACAGACATCCATGTGTGTGTATAAATTCATCTCGTAATGAAATAAAATATCCACAAGCAAAGTGTGAACATATCCTTTTATATCTTCCTCCTGTTTTCTAAAAAAGGTAATGTTTTATATACGTATTGTCCTCAATATGTAGCTATCAGAACTTGGATTCAAGTCTATCTAGGTTATCTGACTTCAGAGCTCCCCCATATTGTCTCACTGGGCCATGCTCCACAGTACTGCACTTTATTGAAATTAAGGTGACCATGAAACAACCAAGTGTAAGTGGCTGAACTATTTGAAAAATGTGGATTTTTTTAGGAGAGAGGGGTTGACGTAAAACTTTAGACATAGGAGTAAGTGCCACAGACATGTTAGTTGGAACTTGATATTTCAGAAAAATGAAACAAGATATACTTTATATAATAATTCCAATTATTAATTCAGCTAACAGTGTGTATTAACATATGCTTATCAAAATTGCTAATTGATTTCATTGAATAATTTTGTATATAATTTATTTAAAGTATTTAAAATTTTGTTTATTTTTAGAGGAGGTACATATATATAATATACTGTGAATTCTTGTTTTCTTAAAGGTTCTTACAGAAAATTGGAAAGATATGAGGAATTTCTAAAGAAGTACCATAAGAAAAAAAAGATAATGGTAATATATCTATGTTTTTATCATCTTTGAAAATTGGATTTTCACAGAAAATATAAACACTACATTTCCACAGATGAACACTGATAACATTTTTGTAAATGTCCTTTTAGTCTACTGTTACCAATCTATCATCTATCTCTATGTTTTAAAGATAGCTGTGCTTACCTTCTTTTCATACTCAGTATTATTGAGTATTGGCATCTTCACATAACTCCAAGTTATTTGAAGACTTATTTCAAGGTATACTATTCCATTTTTTGGCTATTTAATAATTTATAACATACTTAGTAGTGCAGGTCCCCTATCAGCCCTCTTCTTTTGAAAATTAATTCTTTTTGATGACCTTTAGATTAATTTGCCAATTTAAAAAATCTTTGAGATTTTGATAAAAATGGCAAGTCTTTTGAATTACTTTCAGATACTTAGTCTTTTTAAAAATATGTTCTAAAATTATATAATGTTAGAGCTAGGAAAACTGTGTGTCACCATTGGTCTAGCCATCTCATTTAATGCTTTATTTTTAAAAATTTAACTTTTATTTTCCGTTCAGGGGTACATGTGCAGGTTTGTTATATAAATAAACTTGTGACATGTGGGTTTGTTGTACAGATTATTTTGTCACCCAGGTGTTAAACTTAGTGGCCATTAGTTATTTTTCCTGATTTTGTGCCTCCCCCTGCCATCCACCCTTCAGTAGGCCCCAGTGTCTGTTGTTCCCCTCTATGAGTTCATGTGTTCTCATAATTTAGCTCCCACTTATAAGTGAGAGCATGCAGTATTTGTTTTTCTGTTCCTGCATTAGTCTGCTAAGGATAATGGCCTCCAGCTGGATCCATATACCTGCAAAGGACATGATCTTGTTGTTTCTTAGGGCTGCATATTATTCCATGGTGTATATATACCACATTTTCTTTATGCCGTCAACCACTGATGGGCATTTGGGTTGATTCCATGCTTTTGCTATTGTGAATAGTGCTGCAGTGAACATATATTTGCATGTGTCTTTATGGTAGAATGATATATATTCCTTTTGAGTTCTTTCAGAAATCATCAAACTGCTTCCCACAGTGGCTGAACTAATTTATATTCCCACGAGCTGTGTATTATAAGAATTCCCTTTTCTCTACAACCTCGTCAGCTGTTATTTTTTGACTTTTTTTTTAATAGTTATTCTGATGGGTGCGAGATGGTATCTCATTGTGGTTTTGACTTGCACTTCTTTAATGATCAGTGATGTTGAGCTTTTTTCATGTTTGTTGGCTGCATATATGTTTTCTTTTGAAAGTTGTTAGTTCCTGCCTTTTGCCCACTTTTTAATGGGGTTATGTGCTTTTTTCTAGTTAAGTTCCGTATGAGTTTTGGATATTAGACCTTTGTAAGATGTGTAGTTGAAAATATTTTCTCCCATTCTGTAGGTTGGTTGTTTACTCTGTTGGTAATTTATTTTGCTATGCAGAAGCTCTTTAGTTCAATTGGATCCTATTTGTCAATTTTTGCTTTTGTTGCAATTGCATTTGGCATCTTTGTCATGAAATCTTTGCCCATACCTACGTCCAGAATGGTATAACCTAGGTTGTCTTCCAGGGTTTTCATAGTTTTGAGTTTTACATTTTGATCTTTAATCTATCTTGAGTTAACTTTTGTATAAGGTGCAAGGAAAGGGTTCAGTTTCAGTCTTCTGTATATGGCTAGCCAGTTATCCCAGCACTATTTATTGAATAGAGAGTCTTTTTCCCATTGCTGGTTTTTGTTGGCTTTGTCAAAGATCAGATAGTTGTAGATATGTGGCCTTATTTATGGGTTCTTTATTCTGTTCCATTGGTCTATGTGTTTGTTTTTGTACCAGTTCCATGCTCTTTGGGTGGCTGTAGCCTGTAGTTTATAATAGTTTGTAGTTAAGTAGCATGAACAGCTTTGTTGTTTTTGCTTAGGATTGTCTTGGGTATTTCAGCTCTTTTTTTTGTTCCATATGAATTTTAAAATAGCCTTTTTTAGTTCTGTGAAGAATGTGATTGGTAGTGTAATAGGAATGGCATTGAATCTACAAATTGCTTTGGGCAGTGTGGTCTTTCTTTTTTTTTTATTATACTTTAAGTTCTAGGGTACATGTGCATAACGTGCAGGTTTGTTACATATGTATACTTGTGCCATGTTGGTGTGCTGCACCCATCAACTCGTCAGCACCCATCAACTCGTCATTTACATCAGGTATAACTCCCAATGCCATCCCTCCCCCTATCCCCCCTCCTCATGATAGGCCCCGGTATGTGATGTTCCCCTTCCCGAGTCCAAGTGATCTCATTGTTCAGTTCCCACCTATGAGTGAGAACACGCGGTGTTTGGTTTTCTGCTCTTGTGATAGTTTGCTAAGAATGATGGTTTCCAGCTGCATCCATGTCCCTACAAAGGACACAAACTCATCCTTTTTTATGGCTGCATAGTATTCCATGGTGTATATGTGCCACATTTTCTTAATCCAGTCTGTCACTGATGGACATTTGGGTTGATTCCAAGTCGTTGCTATTGTGAATAGTGCCGCAATAAACATCCGTGTGCATGTGTCTTTATAGCAGCATGATTTATAATCCTTTGGGTATATACCCAGTAATGGGATGGCTGGGTCATATGGTACATCTAGTTCTAGATCCTTGAGGAATCGCCATACTGTTTTCCATAATGGTTGAACTAGTTTACAATCCCACCAACAGTGTAAAAGTGTTCCTACTTCTCCACATCCTCTCCAGCACCTGTTGTTTCCTGACTTTTTAATGATCGCCATTCTAACTGATGTGAGATGGTATCTCATTGTGGTTTTGATTTGCATTTCTCTGATGGCCAGTGATGATGAGCATTTTTTCATGTGTCTGTTGGCTGTATGAATGTCTTCTTTTGAGAAATGTCTGTTCACATCCTTTGTCCACTTTTTGATGGGATTGTTTGTTTTTTTCTTGTAAATTTGTTTGAGTTCTTTGTAGGTTCTGGATATTAGCCCTTTGTCAGATGAGTAGATTGCAAAAATTTTCTCCCATTCTGTAGGTTGCCTGTTCACTCTGATGGTAGTTTCTTTTGCTGTGCAGAAGCTCTTTAGTTTAATTAGATCCCATTTGTCAATTTTGGCTTTTGCTGCCATTGCTTTTGGTGTTTTAGACATGAAGTCCTTGCCCATGCCTATGTCCTGAATGGTACTACCTAGGTTTTCCTCTAGGATTTTTATGGTATTAGGTCTAACATTTAAGTCTCTAATCCATCTTGAATTAATTTTCGTATAAGGAGTAAGGAAAGGATCCCGTTTCAGCTTTCTACTTATGGCTAGCCAATTTTCCCAGCACCATTTATTAAATAGGGAATCCTTTCCCCATTTCTTGTTTCTCTCAGATTTGTCAAAGATCAGATGGCTGTAGATGTGTGGTATTATTTCTGAGGACTCTGTTCTGTTCCATTGGTCTATATCTCTGTTTTGGTACCAGTACCATGCTGTTTTGGTTACTGTAGCCTTGTAGTATAGTTTGAAGTCAGGTAGCGTGATGCCTCCAGCTTTGTTCTTTTGACTTAGGATTGTCTTGGAGATGCGGGCTCTTTTTGGTTCCATATGAACTTTAAAGCAATTTTTTCCAATTCTGTGAAGAAACTCATTGGTAGCTTGATGGGGATGCCATTGAATCTATAGATTACCTTGGGCAGTATGGCCATTTTCACGATATTGATTCTTCCTATCCACGAGCGTGGTATGTTCTTCCATTTGTTTGTGTCCTCTTTTATTTCACTGAGCAGTGGTTTGTAGTTCTCCTTGAAGAG